GACTTGCCACGGTCTCCAACCCTCCTCCTTTCTCATCCGGGCTTGGGACCGGCCATGGCGGAGTTGCATCGAACATTATCAGCACTAAAAATTATTTAAATATATGAATACAAATGTGCAACACATCTATGTTCAGTAGTCGACAAAGCGAAGTAAGGGCGTGCGCATGCACTGTGGGTTGTCTGCTTTGCAGGAGGCCGCTGTTGCGTGCTGTGTGAGTAACGCAAACTCATTAAATAAACTTTTTATAACTCGAACTTTTTTACATAACCCTTTCAGGATAATTTGAGCAAGTTCGAATTTACATGGTAAGGGTCTCTCTCAATACAAGTTTTGATCAGCCAAGACAGGTTTAGTCCACTCTGTCTTCTTGCCAAGATTCAGGTTCAAGATCTGCAAATAATTTCAAGGTGCACATGAAAATTCTTATCCATCTACATATGTTGAAACCTCTTTCTCCGGACATTACCCTACGCAACGTGTATTCTTATAACATCGTGGAAATCAGAAGACAAATTGTGATTTGTCATTCAGATATTGCTGGAATTTCATGAAATCGTAGCTTTTTTAATCTACCAATCGCCTAGAGGTAAAGGGATTATTCGATTATGCCGTTTGAGAGGGAAAATGAGGCATATTGGTGATTTTTAATTTATTCGACTGAATTTTTGAAGTGCTAACCAGATCACAATGCGAAAAAATACATAAAATTATATGTGCACTTTTAGAAACCTGCATGAGCACTTTAAAGCCGCTCGCCAGTCGTTTTATCGAAGATGCTACAGCAGGGCAAAACCCTAAAAAGATGCTTGCTGTTGCTCGACTTTTCGAACCCCTTTGCTTAGGATTAATAAGTACAAAAGCAGAATGTTCTGTAAAACCGTTTACCAAGTGCTTTAGAAAGCTCTGATTCCGATTGTCAGAAATGGATGCTGCCTCTTTTTGAAAAACTCGCCTCCGCCGGTATTGACGACTCCGAAAGCAGCGCCGAAAGTTCAGATGAGGTATTTCCTCCAAGATATTACAATAGTCTGCTTATGTAAATGAAGGAAAATCAGATGTTAACAGAGATGTTTTTTGTGTAAAAAATAAATTTTTTTCATACAGGATTTTTTGTCGCATATTACTGAAGGGGTAATCTTTGAGAGAATTAGGCTGTTTATGAAAATAATACTAAGAATGAGTACGTTGCCAAAGATCGTGAATTATGCATTTTTATGGGTTTCCTATATCGTCAAAATTTTCCAAGCATTTACTCCCGTCTATAAACTTTATTTAACACAATATAAACGTTTCAGATCGAGCTGAATCCATTTTTCATAGACATCGTGCAACACCAAGTGAAATTGTTGCATACGGTGGAATGATCTTAAAGTATAATTATTGATAACTAATTCTTGATGTGTACTATAGTTTGGGCTTAAATGTTGCAGTGTAGTTCAGTCTTAGTCTTCCTCACAAACTCATATGTCGTTTTCTTCCAGATTGATGACAAGTCTTCTCCGTTATTTTTGTTCAGACACTCACGTACTGGTGCTAAGAGTGCTTCTTTAATTTCCTGCAGTTTCGTTTGCACCATATTGTTTTCTTGTTTTTTCTTCAGTCAAAAATATAGCCCTCTTTCACCGCGAGTTCAGCCAGTACTGAGTTTCTTTCACATTCTTTTTTTATTTCCATCTGATCCTTCGTCTATTTTTCCACACCATTTCTGATATTGTCCATGTTCGGTTAGTTAGTCCCCCTGCGTTTACTTTATATGACATGATTAATACAGTGCTCAGCATAAGTAACACAATTTATTGCACTACGGACAAAAAATGATCTCATGTTATATTACGATGTCACCTGCAAGCATCGTCCAGTTGGAACCGAAATGATACACGGCAAGGCATTTCGTCTGTTCTTTTTCTTGTAGAGTCTGTGGCTGCCGGACCCAGTGGTTTGGCTCGTTTCCACATTGACGTTCTGTATTTTACAGTATGAAAAATGATAGATGTTCACTGCACACTTACGCGCAATATGCCGTCGGACCAAAAGCTCAGCATAATACTGTTCTTGTGGTTGACCGGTCCTTTTATAATGTAAGACTTCCGGTTAACTTCCTATAGATGTATGGTTAACTTCCAGTTCTCGAATGGTCAGTCACCGTGAACTGGGGGGAGGGCAATTTCTTTGCGATCGTCAGCAATTAGCCTGTAATATTGTGGCAGTCAAGCTCGGCTGGTTGGATAAGGCTGGTTTTTCGCTCCAATATTTTACAAAATGGATATGTAAAGCATTACATTCATTTAATATCGTCTGACAACAAATCACAGTTCTATTGTCAATTCTAAAAAAGTTGTCTGGTGAAATGACGAAACCAACTGAATGGTTAAATAAATTGTATTTAAAGCTGGAAGCATTGAGACTTATTTGCAGCAGCGGTTCATATTATTAATCTGCAGGAGCAGTGTTACTACATATTTTCCATTATTTTTATTGATATAGTTTATATTTCTGGCTGATCAGTGTGACGCTTTATGAACCGGTTGAAATTGTCTCCTTTAGAATACTCTGCAGAAAAGCTTGGAACCCGTGATGACTTTCATCGACTGTCGACAGTACGCTGCATCGGTTCTGCCAGTAAGTAATTGCACTTTAAACTGTGCTTAGAAATTGTAGACTAGACCGTCTTCGTAAAGATACGGAATATCGTACGCCTAGGACAGTTATTCCTATTTATTATTTTACTAAATCCTATGGAGATTTTCAAAAATTCTGCTATTTGATTCAAATCTGTCATCATAGATACTGACGAAACTCATCGACATGGACAATTTCAAAAAAATCTTGTTGCCTCTGTACAAGCGGCTCTGTCAGGACTTGGACGGAGAGGTGCAGAGGTTGGCGGCGTTCACGTTTCATGAAGTCGCTTCGCGCCTCGCAGACGAAGCCCCGCAGATGATCGATTCCTTCATTGATCTCGTCTACTCTGGAGATGCCGACGTGAGTAAAATATTCTGTTTTCATAACCTTTCTCTCATCATAAGTCTCTGG